AAAAAAAAAAAAAAAAAAAAAGCAAGATCTTTAAAAACCTCTCACCATCTACTTGAAATCAATGTCATACAAGTACATAAACATTTCAGCTCTCACTTCACTGCACTCACATAACTGGGATTTGCATGGGCCCTCCGTGTGCCAAACTTCACAGCTCAGGAGCTTCACAGTGGTTGCTATTTTCACGTGGAATATTCTCCCCTCAATATTCTCTTGATTTAGATCTCTCACTAGCTGTCACCTCCACAGAGAGGCCTTCCCTGACTATTCCACAGAAGCACCCATTCCTTATTTTCCCATTCCTAGTCCTGCTTTATTCTGCTTCACAGCACCCAACACTATTTTCTGTATCTTACAGTTGAGATGTTTATTACATACTCAATTTCAATATGGAAATCTCACGGGAAGGACAAATGTTGGAGCTTGAAATGAAATTTGAGATTCCTTAGATGTGAAAGCATTTAAAGCTATGGGTTGGAATAAAGTAACCTATCAAGTGAGTATAAACAGACCCAGAACCAACTAACCAACTTTTAAGATAATATATCAATTGAAATTTTCAATTTTCAGTGAAATGTTCACTGTAACTTTTCATTTGTGAAAATCCTATACATCCATTATGTATAAGAAACAGAAAAACATCAATATTTACTGAATAATATACATTCAAATGAATTGGAGATTTCTCCTTGAAACTTCTGTTACATTTTGAGCTCTTCCTTCTGTCCTATGTTATACTATCAAACTAGAAAGTTCTTAAACCTGGGGACGCTCAAAATTTACCTAGTATAAGAACTAATAACAATTTACGCAGACATACTGGCATCTAATTTTTACAGCTAAATAGAGACTTCAGACACATTCTTCTTATTATAATAAATGATAAAATATATCTATCTTATCAATCTTTGGTTTATAAATGCAAAATAAATAACCTACTGTCATTTATAGCATTAATTTCGAACAATGAAGGTTTTATTATTTATTAATTCTAAGGCTTTAAAATATTACGGGTTTAACAAAAGCTAAACTCTAACATGTCCAGGTTAAGACAGGAACAACATTGTTTTCAGGAATTTATTATGAAAGAAAATCATCTATCTTGGTTAACTAAACAAAGGTACGATAATTCATATAAAAATTAGGGTATCATTCAAATATATTTTAATAAGAATACAAGAAATTATAAAGACTGTTTTCTTCAGTTAAAAGAAACCGAGAGAATAAAATATCTCTCATCAATGCGTTCTTTGCTAAGACTTAATATAGGAATTGTATCTCCAAAAGCTGCTGCCTCCATGAGAGGAGGGGTCACTTCTACAAGGTTCACTGTTGTATCCAGGACAACTAGCACGTGATAAGGTGCTCATAAACTATCTGTAGAATAGATACATTTTAGTGTCACTCAGAGAACTATAAAATTAGGCCATGTAGTACACACACACCAAAATAAGATACTTACTCCAACATCACGCTTATAAATTACATTTGCTCCCTCCAAAGCAATCTTCCTTAAGTTCAAATGGCATCTTGTTCTAAAAACACAGACTACATTTGTAATTAGAATGTCCAATGCAACATCACTGTCTGCATCCATTGGGGTAGTTTAAAAACTTAGCTTCCCACCACGAAGATCACATCCTGAGAAATAAAACAGATTAAAGTCATTAAATTTAAACGTTCTGTTAATTTATTAGGTTATTAAGTAAGAAATGTCCGATTTCATTAAGTGCTAAGTTTGACAGTTGATAACTTTGACAGTTTTTCTTTGTTCGTTTTAGTTGTGAAGGTACATCCTCATTCTCCCAAATGCACATTTTGGCTTATTATCTTTCATATTTTTTAGAGCAATTTTTGTGAAACCACGGACAAGTCAAAAATTCACGTTATTTTTAAATATGAGTTCCATCACGGATCCGGGACAGCGGAGACCGTCTGAAATACCAATGAAGTGGTTAGGAAGGATGCGGCTAATGAACGTACACTATGATGTTGATTTGAGAAGTCCGTTCTGGTGATTTTAATCTTGAGAATGAGCCACACTGGTGACCTGAGGCCAGTGTGGATGATAATGTGCTGAAAGCTACTGTGGAGGCGCATTCATCTCAACCTACAAGTGAATTAGCAGCAAAGTCTGACATTGCTATTCCAACAGTACGTGACATGAAACAAATCACCAAGAAGCTAGAAACATGAGTTCCACATGATTGTCAGAAGAGAAATTGGCTCAAAGCTTGCCTTTCCTTACTGTTACGACATAAAGGTCAACCATTTCTACACTGTATATTAATGTGCGAGGAAAGATGTATTCTTTTTGTCAATCATAAGTGTTTGGCACAATGGTCCAAAAACACTAATGGTATCTATTTGGTGGCTTGTATCATCTACTATAGCTCCGTGAAACCTAGTCAGTCAATGACAGCAGATGTCTACTGCAACCAATTGGATGACACGAGGAGGATGCTTACAGGTAAGCAGCCAAGATTGGTCAATACAGACATGCTAATCCTCTTAAAAGACAACGCTCAACCACCATAGCACAAACAACGCTGCGCAAACTATAGACGTTGGACGTGGAAACTCTCATCCACTGTATTCACCAGACTCTGCACCAGATGACTACCAACCACTTCTTCCAGGATTTGGACCACTTCAACAAGATGCAGAAAACGCCTTTCCCAAATGTGTCACCACTTGCCTGCCAGGCTTCTTTACTGCTGGCATAAACAAGCTACCACTAAGATGTCAAAATTGCGTCCATAGTTTCATTGCATACTTTGATTAATTGTACTGCTTCTTGTTTGAGATGTAATAAACTAAACTTTTGATTCAAAATCGAACATTTCATATTTAATGACGTAATATTTTTCACAATCTTGAAATTACAGCCTTTTTTTTACATTCTATATTTATTTTTCAAATGTTAATAGAATCAAATCATGTCCTTTCTTCTTCCCACTAAAAATGTTATTTTTTAAAAGATAGTGTGCCACATAATATCCTTCAAAATCAGAACACCTTTCTTTCCTTAAATAATAACTTTTACATGCCAGGAACTTGCCAGAGTTATCACCTGCTACTCTCCTTTACAACCTACAACACTCCACAGTTAAGATGATTCCCCAAAAATACTATGTTCAAGGGCTGGACTTTGTGATCCCAATGTCTGACCATTAGTGGTATATAATCCACTTCATACAACTTTCTGGCCCTGTAAAAAGAATGACTTACTTTTCTCTATTTTGGGCACAGTAACTGACTTAAGTTTAAAAAAATAGAAATATTAATTATAACCTTTATTAACAGACTTGACTTTTCTTTTTTTTTTTTTTTGAGACAGAGCCTCAAGCTGTCGCCCTGGGTAGAGTGCCTGGGCTTAAGCGATTCTCTTGCCTCAGCCTTCCAAGTAGCTGGAACTGTAAGTGCCCACCAAAACACCCAGCTATGTTTTGGTTATAGTTGTCATTGCTGTTTGGCAGGCCCAGACTGGATTCGAATCCGCCAGCTCTGGTGTATGTGGCTGGTGAGCTATAGGCACCGAGCCACAGACTTTTCTTATTTACTAACCATTGATTTACTATTCACTTTCTGAATACCTTCTATGCACTGAGGATACTAAATGGAAAAAGTGAATCAGTCAAAGTCTTTTGTCCTCAGGAGCTCACAAACTTGTAGAGGGGGCTGGTCTAACAAAGAGTTGTTATTAGCACAGTACCATTTTTATCAAGATAAAAATCTTCCAATGTATATTTTCCAAAATCTCTATAAGAGTATTTGTATAAACAAACAAGCCCTGGTTTTTACTAAGCACATGACCCATGTCCAGCTAAAAATTCTCTTTGGGTTTTCACACCTTAAGAAATAATCAGTGGCAATTTGGCTTAACTATCATCACAAAAAGAAAATCAGAAAACAGTAAAAATGCAATATAATTAAAATTCCTGTGTCTCATGTAAAAATACAATATAATTAAGATTCCTTAAGTCCCATGTGAAAAACCAGTATTCTTTATAAGGATTCAGACTATCATGACTAAACCAATGAAGGTGCCAAAGTCAAAAATTCAGTCTTGTTTTTCTGTTTAAGTTTCTGATAGAACATTTGGCAAAGCCATAGACCAAGACTTTTAAGACTACTATACATGGTGGTGCCTGTAGCTCAGTGGGTAGGGCGCGGGCCACATACACCCAGGCTGGTGAGTTCAAACCCGGCCCTGGGCCAGCTAAACAACAATGACAACTGCAACAGAAAAATAGCCAGGCGTTGTGCCAGGCGCCTGTAGTCCCAACTACTTGGGAGGCTGAGGCAAGAGAATGGCTTGAGCCCAAGAGTTTGAGGTTGCTGTGAGCTGTGATGCCACAGCACCCTACCAAGGGTGACACAGTGAGACTCTGTTTAAAAAATAAATAAATAAAGACTGCTATAGGACACTACAGCATTCAATTCTATGTATCACTCTCTCACTCTTACATTTCCATATTCCCTTCAATCTGTGTATACTTTTGTTTTTCTGTTCCCTGTGCATGTTTCAGCTACCTCAAACCATTATAACAAGTTGTAGGGGAGACGATGAGAACTGCTGGCTGGTATACAGGCAGGCAGGTTAATAAGCAGAGGAATGCAGGCAGTCTATTACCACTTCTCTTAAGCAGCATGCTCACCCTCTGACTCATCGCTTACTAGCTGTAAAAACTTGGACAAGTTATATAATCCAACTGTGTCTCAGTGTTCTCAACTGTCACGCAGAAGAGAGAGTGCTTGTCAGTGTTATGAGAATTACAAAAAATATATAATAAGTACTTTGCATATATTTCTAGAAAATAACACAATGAAGGACAATGATTATTGATGAAATATGTTCAAGTGAACAAGCAGATCAAAGATTTCTTAAAATCATTCATTTCTTGTGATTACGTTACAGTGCAGTTTGTTACTGAGCCATCTGAACACCTTCAGGCTTTCTGTTAAGTTTCTGGTTACTCACCCTGACATCCATTCAACCCTGCCTTCATAAAGACCACAATCCAGATGTCTAGCTGGGTACATTGTGGCAGAAATAAAATACAAAAGTTTTCAGGCTCTCTGGTAACAGGTATAACCAAGTGGCCACACGACTATTTTATGTTCTGGTCAATAAACATAATGTGAAATGGTGTATGTGCCTTCTGGAAAGTCTGCTGAGAGCAGCGGTTCTCAATGTGTGGGTCGCGACCCCTTTGTAACAATGAAAATACATCATGGCATTAGGAAGGTTGAGAACCACTGGCTTAGAGCAACCTACTATACCAGCAAGGACTCCTTTTGCCTTTCTGCTCTTCATTTGCCTGGAGTTTGGATGTGAGAGCTGGAGCTCAAAGCAGCCAATTCTGGACCATCGGATAATGAGCATGGTAGAACAGTAAGACAGAGTGGCCTGGTCCTTGAGATGCTGTGAATCTCCTTACCCTGTACTTCCTAATTCTAGGTCTGGATCTCCTGAGTGTGAGTGAGAGAAAAACCAATTGTCCTCACAGTGGATTTTTTAGTTAATGCAAAACCTAACTCTAACTGCCACACATACTTGGAGATAAGCTACACAAAGCAACTACTTAAGGAAAAATTCTGTATGAAGGAACTATACCACTGTTTCATCACAGGTTTTTTTTTTTTTTTTTCATCCAACAGTTCTAAATTACTAAACTGCCTGAGAGGACAATACAAAGACAACATATAGGGTAAAAATGAGTCAAGAAGGAAGGGGTAAAGCAAATCTTTGTGAAGCCAAAGCCTTGAAGTGAATTCAAAACTGATGTTTGTTTCAACATTTTGGCAACTTCAATTCTAAAAATGAGGTCATGGCAGTAGTTCACCATAAGTTACTAAGTGTTCATATTTTAGATGCGTAAATTGGCAAGCATGGTCAGAAAATACTCTTTTACTAAAACGGTTTCCTATTAAGAGGCACTCTACATGAAAGACCTCACATTTTTTGAAGAAGTATGAAAAAAAGACCCATTTGCAATCAGTTTCCTTACCTTGTAGATAAAGACAATAGTACTGGCTATTAACAAAGATTCCCTGTTAACAACTAAAATATTATATCCCTTTTAGATGAGATAGCTAGAATGGCAGCCCAGTGAAACGGATAAGTCTCAGTTTCTACAAAGAATCTCTTGTGTCCCTTCTGGCTTTAAGGTAGTGAAATAATTTTTCAATGGGTGAAAAAATTCTACCTGAATAAACATTAGTAGTTCAAAAGGCTTTAGGTTATTCCTGAAAATATATACATATTAACTTTGTTTAAATTAAAACAACACAATGGGTGTAGGAAAGATAGTAGAAATTAATTCCCTTGAGGAAAGAAATATTCCGAATTGTTTATTATGGTGCCTACAGTTAAACATCAGAATCATCTATTTCTCCTACCAATTCTAAGCTTCTTGAGGTCAAACACTAAGTCTTAAAGGTCTACACATTCCCATGGCTCAACACCATATGTGACACATAGTCAATGTTCAATTATAATATTTAGTAAACAAATTCTGTAAAATCCAACATTCCAATATTCTGTCTATATTAAATTTCTATTTAATTCTATAAAATTCTATTAAAATTCTATATTAAATTATATAGAATTGCAAACTATTAATTCTAGGCATGGA